CCCCCCCAGCCTGGGCAGCCCCAGTCACCTTAGACTGATATATCTCGGTCTCGCCAAGACTCTCACACGTCTTTCTGTCTCCTTCCCCCGAAGGAGGTCGACGTCACGATTCCCAACTACGAAATAATGTATATGATCAGGGACTTCCGAGCAAGCCTCGACTACCGGCCTTTAACCACCGCTGACCTGGTGAGTCGTCCTCAGTTACAGGCATGGGGGCACTAGAGAAGTCTGCAGGAGTGAATTGGGCGTCTAGGTGAAATTTAAATGCCTCACTTGTATATGTCATATAGAAGGAATTTTAGGTTAGTAGGTCTATGCTAGCATGCAACATGGGTTGAGTTGGTCTGCACTGGTACCCGGAAAATAAAGGGGTCCCATCTGGCACATCAGCTTCAACAGGTCAAATTCTGCAGCCTAGCAAGCCTTGCTGTACATAACATTATGAACATTTCATTTGATGATGAGCGTCAGGTTTGTTTTAAACCGTTTCGCTCAGATCACACTTTGCATAGGAATATTTTATCACGGTGAATATAGCTTTAAAATGATCCTTCCTTTTTTCCTTCCCCAGATTGAAGAACACAGGATATGTGTATGTGTGCGAAAACGTCCTCTAAATAAGAAAGGTATGAGATCCCTCACGCTGGTATGGAGCACACCCCCCTCGCCCGGAGAACTTCCCCCCCCTACACACTTATCTCCACCTGGTGACGTCACAGTCACGCTGTTGCCACCGTAGGCTTTAGAATTTCCACTTGGGTGTGTATGAAATGCAAATGGGCTGACGTGTCTCTCCCGCTTGTGCTTTGCTGTACAGAGCTGACCCTGAAGGACCTGGACGTCATCACCATACCCAGCAAGGATGTCGTCATGGTACACGAGCCCAAGCAGAAGGTGGACTTGACACGCTACCTGGAGAACCAGACGTTCCGTTTTGATTACGCCTTTGACGACAGCACCACCAATGAGATGGTTTACAGGTATGAAGGTTCATTTGTAATGCATCGTTCTAAAATTCCATGATGATAGCAATGCATTTGTATTTTCCTTGACCCTCTAATGGTTAAGAGTTTAAAAGATAGATGGATTTTCATATCTATCCATTTTCAAACTGCTTATCTTGGACTGGGGCGTGAAGGACCTGCAGCCTATCCCAGACAGCCTTGCATGCAGAGGCACATGCTAGATGCAATGCTTGCAGAGCTCACACACACTGGGCATTCTGCCTACCTGCAGGTCTTCAGACTGTGGGGGGAAACACACAAAACACATGCCAGAAGTACAAACTCCATGGGGGGTCAACGTGTGGCTCAGCAGGCTAAACCTCTGTCCCTGTGATCAAAAGGTCAAGCCCAGCCTTGCTTACATGCTTAACAGTCCATGGGCCCTTGAGCAAGGCCCTTTAACCCCCAGCTCCACGAGCCCTGATACAGGCAGTGGCCCTTCGCTGTGATGCCCACGCCTGCTCTCACCTGTATGTGTCTCACGGAGTGCAGGATGGGGTAGGCGACGAGAGAATTTCCCCATGGGGATCACTAATGTGTCATGCTATTCTATTCAGCCACAGAGGCAAGATTTGAACCCCAAACCATGGAAGTTTGAGTCAGTAGTGCTACTCATTGAACTAAAATATCATTGTATATTTATTTAAACCTAAATTTGTTTATACTCTGCCGGGTTAGGATAAAGATTTACCGCAGTTTCCTGCCTGTGCCTCACATGCCGCTTTCTCTCGTTCCCTCATCAGCCGTGTCCTTCTAACGAGGTTGAAATGTCCCCTTTGTAGGTTCACAGCCAGGCCTCTAGTGGAGACCATCTTTGAGAGGGGAATGGCCACATGCTTCGCCTATGGACAGACGGGAAGCGGGAAGACGCATGTGGGTGACGGTCGTCACGGTGATCAGTAACTGCTAAATAGATAGTATAGAATACCCGTGAATATGCTTAAGGTGCAGGCCGTCGGCTCACGGTGCGCTTCACATCAGCGCTTGTGCTAGACGGCCTTTCAAACGGTACATTACTGCGTCAACTGAACTAAGATTTATCATTCAATTTCAGAATTCGTAACCTTTTAACAGTTCAGTAATCAGTAATTAAGAAAATCATTTCTGGATACTTAATTGTAGGGGGAAAAAAAACAAAATTTGAGGCATTTTTTATTTAAATGTCAAGGTAGGTCAATTATGGTCAGAATTCAATTAAATACATCAGTCATGTCTAAGAACTGGAATATTGGGATGTCCTGGTAAGATGTGTTGCATATGGATGCGCTTTATCATTCAAATAAACTAATTTTCTCTAGGTTCTCTAAGGGTTAATCATTCAAGCGAGTAGCTTCTCATTAGTGGCTGCATGAAGGAACCCCAGGCAGCTATGAGGTCTGTCTCTTCACCGGGATCCCTTCCTGAAAGAGGAGATGGATTTAACCTGATCTCTCATGCAGAATACGGTCTTTGTGGGTGTAATGGGACTGAATGGTGTAATGGGACTGAACATTTTGAACAGACAGACATTTTCTAATTGACAAGGGCCTAACTAAATGCTCTCCAGGTAATTGTAGCTCCCTGCAAATCAGTATGACATAGTTCTGTATTTCGTTTAGCTGATTAGTGGATCATTTCTTCTCAGAGATTCTTCATGTAGTGTCACTCTATCTTTCATTATACATCTGCATTTTTTATAGTATTAATGTCTGTTAAGCACTGAGTAATAGAATGCGAAAGCTCTGTCCTGTATGCCGTTAAGAGCAGTTTCTTGAATGTTGCTCTGCTCCATTTGCTGTCTGCAGTGCGCTGTGTCACATAGCCGTCCTCTGGATGGATAGTCTACTGTCCCCGTCTCCCTCACGTTTGTCTCAGATCCCATTGAGGTTTTAAATTTGAGTCCAGTGTGATCTTCCATTTCTTTCTGGTCTGAAAAACCTCAGTTGCGAGATCATTGAATCATTAAATAAGAGTTGGGTTTCAGAGCACACAAGATGCTCACAGAATCATGTATAAATGGCCACATCATCACAGACCTAAAATGAGAAGTGGGCAAATTATTGGTATGGGTCAGTATTCAGACTTGGACTTTCTTTGTCTTTCAGACCATGGGAGGTGATTTTTCAGGAAAGAACCAAGACTGTTCCAAAGGAATCTATGCGTTGGCTGGTATGTGTCGCACGTCAGATCGGCTTTGTGCTCTCAGAAGCTGGTGCTTGGCTCCTAACTCGTCCTCTTTCTGAAGCTCGGGATGTTTTCCTTATGCTGAAGAAGCCCAACTACAAGAAGCTGGACCTTCAGGTGTACGCCACTTTCTTCGAAATCTACAGTGGAAAGGCAAGTCCAACATATAGGAGGTCACCTTCCCAAGTCTCCTCCTGTCGGACGCTGTGGAGTATCTCATGTGGCTGTTGCCTTCAGAAGGTGCACAGCCACAGAGATGGCCATAAGCTCCAAGTTAGATGACGGACTGTGAAGCGCACCCCCGAAATGGCACTGAGCTCCTGAAAGATGGTGTCGCCCCCCCCCCCCCCCCCCAGGTGTTCGATCTGCTGAACCGCAAGGCCAAGCTGCGCGTGCTGGAGGACGGGAAGCAGCAGGTGCAGGTGGTGGGTCTGCAGGAGCGTGAGGTGAAGTGCACAGAGGACGTGCTGAAGCTCATCGAAATAGGGAACAGCTGCAGGTACAGAGGCGCCCATTTCCCCGATTCGAAAATAACTTCCCCTAAGTGGGAAATGATTGTCTGAGGCACGTCCTCCTTTGGTTAGCAGAGCTTTTCAAAATTTGAATACCAATCAAAACCTTGAAATATGTAAAAAAAAAAAAAAAAAAGGGCTACAGAAGGGCTGCATTTCTTGTTTTTAATTAATTTTCTTAATGATGTCGTGTATGAAAGCACAGCTTTTTGTGTCTCCCTTACCCTGTGATGCACAGGACATCTGGCCAGACATCGGCCAACGCCCACTCCTCGCGCAGCCACGCCGTCTTCCAGATCATTCTGAGGCGGAAAGGCAAGATGCACGGCAAGTTCTCGCTCATCGACCTGGCGGGCAACGAGCGGGGTGCCGACACGTCCAGCGCCGACCGGCAGACGCGCCTCGAGGGAGCCGAGATCAACAAGAGCCTGCTAGCTCTGAAGGTCAGAGGCCCAAGGCCTTCAACGGCCTGCTAATAAAGGCATTGAAGGCACATTTCAATTAGTGTCCCATTTTCACCAAGCCTGGATTGACCAATCAGTCCCATTGTAGGTCGTCTCCTCCAAGCACCGCACCCGTGCCAGCTCAGTCCGTGCTGGACTCCTGCAGGGAGCGAGCTATCAGCTGCAAGCTTTATTCCTGCTCTGTGGGCTGCAGGACTCGTCAGACAGCGTAACACTTGGATGAGAGTGTAAACCGCTCTCTTCCCCTCCCCCCATGCTCATAAGCAGCCACGCCAAGAGCGTGTCGCCATGATGTGATGAGTGAGGGAATCCCAGCCTCTGATGGGCTCCTCAAACCCTGGGTCCTGCTGTAGACAGACAAGCATGCTTTACCATTGTGGAGGGAGACATGATCTCACGTCTTTGCTGCTTAAAAGAATGTAGGCGGCACCGGTGAGCTGCGTGTGGTAAGAGAGCTTTGTTGTTTCCGCAGGAGTGCATCCGGGCCCTGGGCCGGAACAAGCCGCACACCCCTTTCCGGGCCAGCAAGCTGACTCAGGTTCTGCGGGACTCGTTCATTGGGGAGAACTCGCGGACGTGCATGGTGCGTCCGCAGCAGTGGACCGAGACTGCATTATGGCATTCTGGCAGGCACTCTGGTCATTTATGTGCCAACAGAAATGGATCCTCTGCTCTGTGTCCTCAAAGGAAAGCTTAAGCGATTGTAACCGCACCAGAAACGTTACCGATTATAGATGCTTTTCATAGTTGATGGCTGTAAGTGATTCTGTTCCACTGAAAAATGAGAGGGTCTTTTGTCAGTGGCTTCTGCTTCAGCTCCTGTCTCTTGCTCCCTTCAGATCGCCACCATCTCCCCAGGGATGGCGTCCTGTGAGAACACGCTGAACACGCTGCGCTACGCTAACAGGTGGGTCGGCGACACGTGTCAGGCAGGCCTACAAGGGGGCTGACGCACAGGGGAATCTCGTCACGGTAGCGCTTGCAGGATACGGTAGCATCGGGTCTCTTCTCGTCCCCGAGCTGATTTTGTAGTTACTAAGGAATACCAATGGTTTCCTCGGCTTGCTGTAGCGTATCCACATGTAGGTGCATGTTCTAGTAAAATTGTGATCAGTTTGGAATATCGCTAAGCAAGCAGTTTGCATGTTGCGTGTGTAACCCTGCCCGTCTCTGTCCTAATCCCACAATTGAAACCCCTTTGTTTCTTCTTTATGTGAACTGTCATAGTAAAAACAAACGCAGACAGACATTTTTTTCCCTTTCCAGTTGCTCTATCTGTGTGTCCCAGGTGTAGCACATTAGGGACCTGATTTAGCAGCCTGGTGTGTTGACTGAGCTTTCCTAAGAGATACAGTCAAGGCTTTAAGGCAATGCAGTTATCGGTGTTAGTCGTCTCTGAGGCCAGAAGACTGTTTTCCCCTTCAACCTTTATTAGAGGTTCAGGAACTGGTCAGTCTAAGACTAAACCAGCACCAGAACTGGATTATATATGCGCGCACACACACACACACACACACATATATATATATATATTTTGCTTTTCTGAAAGCCAGTAGTTTTTGGAGTTTCTCTGCTTCACTTGATTGATAGTAAAATATGGTCTTTTGGTCTTGACGACTGCATGCTTCCCAAGCTGGATCAGTCGAGCTGGAGTTTTATCATGAAAAGCAGGCATTGTGAAGAATCGGTTGCTCTCTCTTCCCTGTGCTTCTGTGTGTCCTGACCTGAAGCTTTCTTCTTCCGTCTGTCCTGCTCTGTCTCTGTGCCTTCAGAGTCAAGGAGTTTGGGATAAGTCCCTCGGACATCCCCTTCTCCCAGGGGGGTGGAAGTCGATCTGAGCAGTCCCCCACCTATGAGTACGATGACTTTGCCACTTCCCCCACCAGGTCTACCTCTCTCCGTTACGCTTTCACTCCGACACTGATGCACGCACGATAACATCGACTCCTTTGACTGCGGTTTATTTTTGCCCCTCTCCCCTTCATCCATGATGTATCCATCCCTGTTTTTGGTTTTTCCGGTTTTATGGCCTACCGATCTAAGTTTGTTTTGGTTCCTTTTCTTTTTACTTTCTTGGTTCTCGTCTCATGGTTCCAGCTCCTGCTGTCAATGGCATGTGTCCTTTCCTCATCTGTACCAGTGCTGATGTCTTGTTTTTTTTGTTCTACATTTTGTTCGCTGGCACCCTAGAGTATGGTCAAACTGCCCTTATCCATCCGATTCTATTCATCGTATCTGTGTTTTGTGTTTGTAGATGTTAAATGGCACCTTCCATAGTACTGTAAAGGGCTCAAATATCAATCCTTTTCATTGAGCAGTTAATTGGCGTACATTTAGCATCAATGTTTACATGTTGACTGGTCATATTTCAGAAGCATAAGTCGTAGCTTGTTCTCAAATTGCTCTGTGTGAATGCTTCCTGGGAAGCATAATGACCTGTAAATTGATATAAAAATTGTTAAAGGTGGAGCTTCATTTCAAGCAGTAAGACAGACAGGCCCATGTTTGGTGCAACTCAAGTACCTGGAAGTGGTGTCATCATCTTGGCGGATTCTTATGACTGAAGCTTGTATTGGATTCAGGAACGGGGGTTAGTTAAACGTCTACCGCTTTGTCACCACAGGGTGAAGGAGCTCACGGTGGACCCCAGTAGCGTCGAAGGACGCCCCAACATCCATGCCGTCAACCAGCTGGACCCGCTGGATGCTCAGTGGGGAGTCGGCAGCTCTCCCCAGAGGGATGACCTCAAACTCCTGTGCGAACAGAATGTGAGGAGATGATTTGGCATGACGAGACTTTGCACGGCTTTGTTGTTCTGTATCTGTCTACTGTTTGGCTTGGTGAGGTGTGGTTTAATTGAAGTTCTGCCTTCAGTAACTACTGTACCTTGTTGGCATTGTGTTGTTTGGGGAATGTGTTGCGTCTGGTTGTTTGGACAATCTATCTTATGTATGGCCTTCTGTTGAGTATATGTAGCCCATTAAGCATGGGCCTACTGTATGGGAGAGCCAGTGGGTGGAATAAAGGAGGTGGTGGTTGGCGCAACCAGGTGCTACTAGTTTGTCTTGGGTACTTGGTACCATGGGATGGGTACTTGCATGCCTCCTCCAAACTTCCTGTTAATGCCTGATGGCATTTGTTGCTGCAGGAGGAAGAGGTGTCCCCCCAGCTCTTCACATTCCACGAAGCAGTGTCCCAGCTGGTTGAGATGGAGGAACAGGTGCTGGAGGACCACAGGGCTGTCTTTCAGGTAGCTCAGCTCTTCCTCTCCCGTCAGTCTTTTCCACTGGCCCAGTAGTGGATCCCAGCTCATTAAATCAGTGACTCTATGATGTTCTAAAGCAGGGGTTTTCAACCAGGAGACCGAGACCCCTGTGGGTTTGTAGAGCAGATACAGGGGAGTCTGCATCATAAATTGATATTTGTTTGATCCCTGGTTTAAGAAATGTTGAAAACCGCTTATCTGACCTATAGTCTGCCACACTGGAGGTTTAGACTGGCCTAATAATACTGCTTTTAAGCTCTGATAGTTGTCTCTGTTTACCCTCTCTGGTATTTCTGGTCCTTTTGAGTGCTTCACTTTTGGTCACGCACATTTCATGCCTCAGTGAGTAGCACTTCTGCCTGACACTTCCAGGATTTGGGGTTCACATCCAGAGTTCTGTACGTCTGGAGTTTGCACGTTCTTCCTATGTCCCACAGGTTTCGTCCTGCGGTCTAAAAACATGCATTAAAGCTAACTGGTGTCGCAAAATTTTAATTTCACTGCCTAGCATTGACTGGCATTCCACCCAGAGTGTCCTGTTGGAGGTATTACTCTGCAGAGTTGTGAAAAAGGTGGGCTTTCTTCTTACGGACATGAATTTGTGGTGCTTATGCAGGAGTCAATCCGGTGGTTAGAGGATGAGAAGGTGCTCCTGGAAATGACTGAAGAGGTCGACTATGATGTGGATTCCTATGCCACCCAACTAGAACAAATACTGGACCAAAAGATTGACATTTTGACTGAGCTGAGAGGTATTGTGATGCTATTTTCTTTTAGAAATAACCTGATGCATATTATTTCTATAGAAAAATGACTGTAGATCACAACATTTAAAATTAGGAAATGAACAGTCTAAGCCAGTATAGTTCACTTATGCAAGATTTTCATTTAACGGACAGTAAGTCGCGTTTCTGAAATCAGACACAGAAGGTTAGAGGTCTAAACACCAAGGAATATGTCTCCATCTATTTGAAAGGTGCCCAAGTAAGTGAATATAGTAAAATATTGTTTGATGCTAATCCATTTTTAGATGTAACAGTATGATGAGAAAATAATGCAGTTAAAAAGGACAGAAAGTTTTCACTTACGACCTTGAAACCCCAGTAGGGTCCCCTACTTTAGTCCCAGCTGAGCTCATTCGATGACCCACAGTCCTCATTCCCACTGAGTCCCTTTCTGTGCCTCCTTGCCAACAGACAAAGTGAAATCCTTCCGCTCAGCACTACAGGAGGAGGAGCAAGCGAGTAAGCAGATCAACCCCAAGCGCCCCCGCGCCCTCTAGGGGCCACATCTGGTTATGGCACCTGTAGGACGGGCATCTGATGCCCCCTAACACTGCACATTTGGCCATAACTGGTTGTGAAGATGCCGTCGTCCATAAAAGAAGGAAGTGGCGACGAGGCGCATTTCCTATTTCTTTCCCGTCCTCTTGAGACGTCTCAAGTTAGAGCAAGTGCTCTCCCCCCCCACTCCCCCCCACCACCGCTAGCGGTGCAAGGGAAAAACAAAAAACGGGACGCTTTTTAAACCAGTTTTAATAACAGGGGGAGGGGGAAAAAATCTGTTTAATTTATCGCCGTTTATTTTTCTTTTGGCAAAATGTACAGAGAAAAATAAAGGTTTGGCTTCCGTGGCGACGCCTTAGCAGGATGGTCTGTCATGGGTCCTTTTGGACAGTTCAAAAATGTATGTATGCATGCATGTGTAACCAGGCGGTGACATGTAACCCAGCATCCCATGTCATACTAAAATCTGGTCAGTGGTGTAAATAGCCATGTTTACTTAGGGCCAGTCTCACCGTTTTTCTCCTTCTCTCGTGTGTAAAGCTACACACAGTAACACAATCGGTCAGAATTAAGACACGTTACTTGTCCTGGTTTACATCCTGCTTCGATGTGGATACCTGTGTTCCCTTGACCTCCATAACCATCAGTCTTGTAGCTCCCCTCAGTCTGGTGCCATATCATGTTTCCTAGAGGAAGTGAACGTCTTGTGTGACATCGAAGCATCACCCGATTTCCTTATACTTCTAATACTGTACATTTTTTTCCACCTCATTTAACACTATTTGTAAACAAAGAAATGGGGGAAAAATAGAAATGGATAAAGTATTAAGTAATGTATAGTAAAAGCCCACTGACTTACTGCTGGAGATGTTCTTTTGTGTGTGCACACCAGATGTAACGCTGGATCAAAGAATAAAGTGTCACCTGGTTGATTAGAAGCTGTACATTGTATGCTCTGTGTGGTCATCAGTTTGGACCAAGGAGGTCTAAAATGTATCTCATAGTGGGCTCTTGGGTGAAAATTCTTGGCACTGCCCACGCAGCGTAATGAGGTGAGTTTATGAAATTAAGATAATGGATTCAACAGAGGTTTGGTGGATTCTCTTTTTTAACAATGTATTGTTTTAAACTTTTAATATACTGTGGTGCTTAATTGCATTTATCTACTTTAGGCTAACTGTATTAGCCTAGTGTACTTGTATATAAAAAAAGTTGTTTCCTTCAGGGTTAGTAATTCTCTAGCTTTTGTTTTTCGGTGGATTAAAGACACAAGTGTAATCTGAGAAGACCATGGTTAAAGTCCCATGTGATTATAAGAATCAACTTCACGGGTGCGGGTTTGACTGCATGCATGTCTGCCGAGGTCCTTGGAATTTCCTTTGAGAGACTCGAAGGACGAGCATGAGCAACCAGAGGCAGCAAGGGGGCTTTAGGGAACTGGCCACGAGCAGGTAGGGAGAATGCAAACCCTTCATAAGTCCAGTTTCGATGTTTACTTCACTTGAGCGCTGCTCGGTAGAAAAGCAGCTTTGTGACCTAAATAATTACAGCAATTGCCATGAGTTTATGGTGAAGGGTTGAATTTATTCATTACATATGGAAACTGGATTTAGGATGTACTGAAAACATTCATTGATATGTTACATCTCCTGTCAACACAAAGGTCTAGTCACTGTTTTCTCCTCATGCAAATGTTTCAATGGTAAGATAACGTGATAAAACATTTCTGTACACTCAACCTTGAACCGACGCTTAGACACATGATGGAATGCTTGCTCCTTTAGGTGTAACCATGGGAACCATACCATATTCAGACACATTGGCTGCTGATGCAACTAATATTTCACCATCTCAAAACTTCCTTTTTCTCAGACCTACAGAATTTCAGTTATGATCCATCACATTTTTCTTTCAGGTTGTGTCAACGGTGATTAAAATTCAGAGCTGTATATTTAGCTCTGATGTATATAATGGTCCTGGGAAGGAGACCATTAATCTCACAGAGGGTAGAGGCCTTCTTCAAACTTGGGTAAAATGGCATTCAGGATTAGCACACAGATGTGAACGTTGGCTGTTAAAACCAGGGAGTAATCGTTCTGAAATAATTCCTGTGGAAGGGAAAGGTGAAATACAGGCCTCGTGTTTTGGAAAAACAACTCTGGACATTACCAGAAAGAGTTTAAAATAGCACTTTCTGGTTTTAATGCACAATACATAATATGCCCCAAGTTTTTTTTTCCCTCCCCTTAAAAGCCACCATATGATAGGGAGCATTAATGTCTGTATTCCTAATGTAAAGGAATATACAAAGTGACACCACGCTGAACACATCACAGCAGATAAGTCCTGCAGAAATCAGGCTCTTCCTATGCACATGAAGCATGTGCTCGCCGCTGCAAACTGCGAACTGACAGCTCCACATCTCAGAGATGATTACATTTGAGATCCTGCTATGAGAAGTGAATCCCAGCAGAGTTGAAAGCATGGAGGAGCCTGTGGATGAAGGACAAGTCATTCAGAGGGGAAAAGGGGGTTTATAAATAGTTTGATATCACTATCATCAGCTGTGATCAAAGAATGAAGTCATGTCCTGACTAGTATTAGAGATCACTGGCTATTTTTAACAGAAAAATAATGTTGGGTGTATGTGATGAAGCGTTTGTCTTAACTTAGGCTTCAAATGTGCATTAATGCACTGAGGTCTTTGTGAGAAGGTATCAGATGCTGGGATTAAAGCTGCTTTGGGTAAAAGCGCGGTACAGCGCAGCATCATCATCAGTGGGAAAAGTTACCGAGAAAGTCAATAGAGATTTTGGTTAACTGTGCTTATAAATGTTTTACAATCCAAATCGGAAGCTTCTGAATAACAGCAGCATGAAGTGAACCATAAATCAGACATGCTAAGACTGACAAGAGTCACTCAGTTCCATTAGGCATCTTCTACCACAGGCTAGGGATGGAGTTTAAAATCTTTGGGATCACTTACACCATAAAGTCATCGATGTCCATGGAGCGAGCTCGCTTCACACCGAACTCAACCTCCTGAAGAACAGACTCAATTTTCTTCCCGATGCTGAAATCTGGCGGGATTTCCTGTTTTTAAAAGGCCAAAAACTCCCACTTTAGTAATCTAATATACTGTAAGAAAAAAAGTTCATGACCATGAATTTTTTTTTTCTCTGATCACTCAAAATTATAGCAATTAAATTGACATTGATAATGAAAATCAATATCATAACAGTACATTTATGCCCCCCCCCACACCTATTAAAGCAGACTGGTAGGAATGTGTACCCACAATGCCATGCACTGAACAGTGAATTCTGTAGTTCTTCTCCAACAGCTGCTCAACAGCAGAAGACCTGAAACAGAAGGCATTTACCGTCACATTACAAATGACCTTCCGCTTGTCTAAGCTACAGCAATTTTAAAAAGGCGACATTTGTAATATAACAAAACAAGCATTACAGTCACCTCCATCCACCCCCCACTTAAAGGATGCTTATCGTTTAGACTCACAATGTGGTAAATTCATTTTAAAACTGAGCTTGCCTTTATAAGATGAAGTATTCAAAAATATGGGTGAGCTGATGTTAAAAGTATTAACTTACTTGAATGCAGAACTAAGAGTTTTGTTCTTCCTTACAAACGCAATTCTGACAAGACCGTCCCATTCCTGCAGGAAGAGACCAGAGGGGGGCCTTCAATAAACCTCTTCCTGTAACCCCACGACAGGCACATTTCTGACCAATCCCGAGCACCGTGGCCTGGACGCACCTGGAAGTTGATGGAAGGCGGAGGATTCTTGGGCTCTATTCGAACTACACTTGACTCAACTTTGGGTGGAGGGCGGAAGTTATTCTTCCCCACCTGTTTTAAGCACAGCAGCAGAAATGGTTTGGCCTTATGCAAAACTCTCACTCCAGACACAGACACATCCAGTGCGTAACATGTACAGATAGAGGGAAAATGACAAAAGCTAAGTTCTATATCATGTGCAGTCTTATCTCCCGGATGGTCACTGTGGATTCCAGACCTTCATGAGGTGGTCGACGCGAGCCAGCAGCTGCGTATTAATGGACAGCCTGCAGTAGAGTTTATCTCCAGGCGTGGCCACCAAGCGCAAGGCAAACTCTCTCTGGAACATCAGCACCGCACACCTTCCATGAAGTCATAAGAGGAATGCAGGTTAGCAGCTGTGTTGTGATGGACAGCCAAATGACTGAATGCAATGCAGATTCCTTTAAAATGGATACTAATTACAATGTTTCATCTTACACAATTGACCATGAATTTAATAATGAGTTTAAAAGAGGGATTTTCTGCATCCTGTGTTTGATTTCCTACCTGAAAAACGGCCTGTGAAGCAGTAGCTTAAATACAAACGGTGATGATATCTGGAATAAATTGCAAGCAGTGAAACATAAATCAATGTCAACAAACTTTTCAGTTTTCTTCTCCACTGAAAATGGTACTCCATCAAAGTTAAGGTCACAGTTTTCTTGTTAACCACGATTAGAAATGACACGAAACACGAAGCTGCCCACTGCCATGTCACGTAGGGGTTAAATACAGGGCACATTTCCTTGTTGTGCGATGTGCCAACAATTGATCACTTCTGCTAAATTCTATACTGTACACCCCCCCTATTCAAATCTGGCCCTCGATTCCAAATCCAGGCCTTGTTTTCAAGTCTCCCAGGTAGTTAGCTCAATAATTTCTGGCTCTAATTGGTCAGAGGCTTCACAACAGGCTCTCAGGTGAAGGAAAGCTGGAGAAACAGCAGTGCTCGGCCCGTGAGGACCGTGATTTGAATAGCCCTGCTGTACACTATTGAATGTGCATGGGATACTAAGGATTACAAACAAGTAATAAAGCAGATAGGATATTTTAATGCAAATACTGGAAAAAAAATATTTAGATCAACCAAGGAATGCATCAACATGAACTGCATACAGAGAGCAGAGGAATGCTGATGATTTATTGAACATATAATTAACACAAACTAGAACATAATTTAAAGTGACTGGAATTAATATAAGGTATTAAATGACACTGGAAATGAAAACACTGCATACCTGATAAGGCAAATTAGCCACGCAAATGTCAAAAAAGGGCAGATCTGTCTTCAGAACATCCCCGACTAAGATTTGGAGCTTCGTCTGCAAAGGCCTGCAAAACAAGAGGTTTCAACAAAGGAACTGAAGCGGCCCTCTTTGCAATCAAAATAAGTGAGTATGCCTTTTAAGGGCTGCATATCCAGGTGGTATGCAGCTTGAGGGCTCAGTGTACTGCTGATGCCTGATAGCTACAGGGCTGGGGGTTCAACTCCCACCTGAGTGCCCTTTCCAGGTTCACCCTGTGTTCTGTGCATTTCCTCCAGCAGTATGAAAATATGCCATTACACTAACAGGCGTCGACAAATTGTGCATAGGGTGCGTGTTTGTGCCCTGGCATCTCAGCCAGGGTGCACCCCAGGTTTGTGCCATACACTGCCTGAGAGAGGCTTCAGGTTCTCCACAGCTGGTCCTCGTTAAGCAGACAGAACAGAATAATAGATATCCAGGTGGTTATGGGGTCAGTACCATGCCAAGTCTTTTTTTTTTGTTAAAGTTACCCCATTTCTGTGCAGAGCATAAATTTAATAAAACATTGGGATGATTTCCTGGCATCCTGACATGTCTTGCTGTTGTACAGCCCAGTAACAAACTACCACTGTACTCACGTGCATTGAACTCTCTTCTGAAGTTCAGCCACAAGTCTGGTATCTACTTCACAAGCAACTACCTTTGAAGAGAAAAGATAGTGAAGTTAAAATCCATGGCCTGCATGTAGGTGTGGCAGGACTGCATTATTACACAGACCCTATTCGTCATACTTCTTACAGTAGGCCTATTACCTTTTTTGCATTCTCCAGAAGTTTGACTGTCATGTTTCCAGTACCTGGTCCAACTTCCAGAACCACATCTGTTGGCCTAAGGGCTGCCTAGAAATAAAATAATAATTTTAAATAGAACTAAATTATGCATTTTAACAAATGAAACAGTGGGTTTATGTTTTTATGGCTATCTGCTAAAGCGGGGGAGTGGTGTGTGACTGTGGGTTTGGATTCTGTCCCCCTTATAACCCTGTTTCGTCACGATTGGGCCCTTGAGCACTTAACCCCTAACTGCTCCAGGTCTGGCTGTCCCTGCTTTCTCAATGTACATCTCTTTAGATAAAAGTGCCAGTTAAATAAATAAGTGTAAATATAATGTAAAATGAAAAGATAGAAATCGTTTGGCTTGATATTACAGACCGCGAACCAGCACAAATAAACAGAACAATACCCAAACAGATGTGAAATATTAAACAAAACGCAGACGTTTTACTTACCTTTTCGATAATGCTGTTGACCACTAAGGGATTCTTCAGAATGTGTTGCCCAATGCCAGTGTTGAACATAATCCCTTAATAAAAGCATTGGATAATTTCTAATTAGATCGACATTTTAAAATTCTATCTATTGTCAACATTTGTGCTCAATTACAAGATACGAGTAATAGCAGTTAATTAATCAAACTCTCACGGTGACATTTAATTTTCTTACTCATTTACACGAAAATATATATGGCTAATTGGACAGTTATCCCTTATACGCAAATTAGGATTATTAGCGCGATAGTCATGGTCCATGGTGTTTTTAAATTAAAGTTAATAAAAGCGACACGGTTTATAAACATAATGCCGGCTCACGTTATTAACTGATCGTTTTAGTAACTTACCTTGACTTTTCACTTCCTGGTGTTGTCTACTTTTCTTTGCTGCTTTGACTTTTGGCATTTTACAATCAAGTAATTAGAACTCCTTCTTAAGCTTATAGTGCTATAAGACACCACAACATGTGCTCTACGGAAATAATACGACTCTCTGACCGGAAGTTGTGACAGTTGTAGCTGCTTTGTGGGAAATGGAGTACCGCAGAGCCAAACAATCGAACTATCGCGGTGCTATGGATCGGCGGCGCACTCCATTTCCCATATCTACGTGGTGAGTAGCATTCAAAATGCTCCCGGTTGGTTTTATCCTAATAGCAGATCCCAACAAACCAATGTAGTAGGGTGTATATGCATATTAATAGTGATAAAGCTCTGCATTTGACCTTGTTCACAAATAACTGCACATATAGAATTCCTATCCCTAAATTTATAGGAGTAACTTCATAGAACATTATAATACGGTATTTCGCAAAGTAAGCCCTAAGCCAGTACCTACATGATTATAAACCATATTTAAATGCATTACTAAAGTAAGGTTTTATTGGCCTTATTTTATTAGCCTATATGGCCACATCAATGAATGATTTTGGTCGTTGTTACGGAGATACAGTTAATGAGTATTAAAAGCTGACACCTAGTGGCCGAACTGACATCATTTAACAGATATGGGGAATAGGACTTTGATGCAAGTTATACAGATTTGAATTATAGCGCCCAACTATTTATAAGCTATTTATTTTGACTATTTATTTACTAATGCAAACAATCACAATAACGGATTAACTGAACTAGTTGCCTTAGAATATGTCGTTGAGGCTATTCGAATAATATTTGGAAACCATTTTTTAATAATAGCAGGAATCTAGTCTTATTTCCTTAAAAAAAATATTTTTTTAGAAATTCACTTTTTGTTTAGCTAGTGTAGGCCGCAATATTACAGAATAAATACACTGTATAGAAGATGAATGATAAGTATTACGTAAGAACGCGTTTTTCCTAACTAGCCCAATTTAATTCCGTGCAACATTAAAGGAAAATAGCATTTCTGAAAATTCTTCTCGATCAGTTGGAACTTCGGGTGGAGTCATTTTGACTTTTCCACGTTTATCTTCTGTTCTAAAATTCCAAATGATTCTCACTATTCCAACAATTTAGAATTTTAGATGATAACTGATTGTAGGTCGCCATATCCAAATTTACTTTAATCATTAGGTACTACTTTGTGACTTTTCTCGTGGATTAAAAAAAATCTATATCCAGCAAATGCGAAAAATGGTCTGAGGAGGAAACATTTCAATGCCATTAGCTATTCATTAGCTATTTGTTACACACGGTGCCCCGATCGCTCCACCTCCCCGGATATAAGGGCTCAGTAACCTGCGGCTTTCGGCTGCCGGCGAGGGACGATGTCGCTGGACCCGGTCAGAAAGGGGGGCGTAGAGCTCGCTCCTTTGGCGCTGCACAAGTTCCTATCCGCTGCATTTTACGCTGTCAGTTCGCTCTTAATCGTGATAGTAAATAAAATCGTGTTGACGCACTACAGGTGAGTCAATGAATTCAGGACGTGGGCTAATGCTCAACCAACTTCCGCGTTGTTATAATATTACAATCATTTCATATCGTAACGCGTTAGAAACGCTTTGCAAAGTTTTTTAAAATTTGTTTTAGAAACCATTTTGCATCCTAAAAATGAATTCAAATGATTGTCTGCATAAGCCCGCCTTTTGGCTCGGCTGAGGTTCATACTCTCCCACGAGTTCGGAGTCTTTTGCCTTTCTTGTGAATTTTAAATCGCACATTTTTTTTCTCATTGTCTGAGTGTTTACGTGGAGATGAGCTATAATAGAATGCGAACTGACTAGATAAATCAAATCTGAATGTTTTGTCATACAAATTTAAAATGTAGATATAGTTGTCTGACAAACGCTGTGGGTACAGTACGACAGGAAAAAATTATCAGGAGATTCACGGCGTCGATCCCCAGGTTTTAATCTGTTAATGTGCTTTGTGGCATCGCGCTATTTTTTTTTTCATTTTATGTTCTCTTTACAGGTTTCCATCATTCATGTTTCTTGGAATTGGTCAGGTGAATTATACTCAATTATCTTATTCATTATGTCGCGTTTATCCAGAAAAATAGATTGGGGTGGTAAATCATTGACTTTGTTTTTCATCTTTTTGTTACAGATGCTCACTACTATTATTGTTCTCTATGCTGCAAAATTGAATCATAATATTCATTTCCAAGATTTTGACAGAAGTATACTTTTTAAAGTAAGTATTTGTCCGTGCTATTAAATGATGATAACAATCGTTTTATTTATATATACAATTATAATGCAATTATAATTTTATATTGCAGTTATTTTATAGCCTTTTTAATTACAGATCTTTCCTCTGCCCCTTTTGTATGTTGGGAATCACATCAGTGGCCTCGGCAGCACTAAGAAATTGAGGTACTACGCTGAGAAGGTGCATAGTAACACAGATTAAAGTCATAAGATCATTCACTACTGTTGCTCTGTCCCTCTCTTATAGTTTACCAATGTTCACTGTTCTAAGAAAGTTCACGATATTGATGACCATGGTCCTGGAAGCGTGGATATTAAGGTGTCTTCCTTTTATTTTTCCCTGAAATGGACTCCAGTAAAGCTATGACCTATGTAACACTGAGTTGTTTTGTTTTTTCTTTTGCCCTCTCAAAGGAAAACATTCCCACCTCTTGTCAAGTGCAGTGTGTTGGCCATTGTCATCGGCGCCCTGGTAGCTGCCAGGTAAAGCCCTAGGATTCTTGGAGACTCCAGTTCAGCTGTCAGTATGGTGTTTGACTGAGCGGAAACCCACCTGAGTACAGGGAGAGCAGACAAGCTTCACATACACTGAGCCACTGCTGTGACTCAGATCCCCAACAAAGCACAAACTCACAGGAGACACTTTCTAATGTCATAACAACACAAAATAATTTTGAACATTAATAGTTCTTTATTATCAACAGTTCTTTTACAGTTTGTTTATTCTAAAGACGTAGTCCATGTATTATTAAATATTATTAGTGATATTATTAAATGCATCCCAACAGAATGTCCTCTTGATCTGCGCCCTATCCTGCCTCAGACAGGCTCTGCCCCCCAACAACCCTGAACATAAGCGGTTGGATGATTAATGGATGGATAATATTATTATATGGATAAAAAAAATCTAATTTTCATCTTCATTGAGATGAATATTGTTTACCTAAAGATTCCCAGATCAAGGGAACCTCCCTGACTGTTACAGCAAAAGAAAATTCAAACCCAATGTTTCTTTACTCTCCCTAGATCAGGGGTGCCCAACTCCAGTCCTGGGGGGTCAGAGCCCTGCACATTTTTGGGTTTCCCCTCATTTAACACACCTGATTCAGGTCCTTGTGCTAATTACCACACAGCTCTTGAGCTGAATCATTTATGGTGGAACTGGGAAAGAACTAAGCTACACAGGACTCCGGCCCTCCAGGACTGGAGTTGGGCACCCCTGCCCTAGATCATTGTTCCAATTATTTGAAAAATAATTATTTTTCAAAGATTTTGGCTCGACACATCAGTACTGGAGAATGATTAAAGCACAGTGTATATTTTTCAGATGTTGAAGTATTGTGTTAAATCAGGGTTCTTCAAATCTGGACCTCGATTCCAAATCCAGGCCTTGTTTTCAGTTCTCCCAGAGTTTAATAATTACTGATTCTGATTGGTCAGAGGCTTTACACCTGACTGACAGGTAAAGGAAGGCTGGAAAACCAGCAGTGCTCGGACCTCGAGGACCGTGATTTGAAAAATAGGGTGTTAAATCAATATTGTATTTGGGGATGGGAAACAAAAGTGAGGATACATTGTTTTCCAGTTCTGACTTGGCCTTTGACCTCGAGGGATACACATTCATCCTCCTTAACGACATGTGCACTGCAGCCAGTGGCGTTTACACCAAGAAGAAGCTGGAGGTCGAGGTGACTGTCCACAGTCGGCTCCTTCTGACTGGTTAATGATTCAACAGAAAACCGATTGAACTCATAAAGTGTCATTTAGTTATTATCATTATTATTGACCTTATTATGCTCAGTTGTTGATTTCCTTTGGAACACCACATATTGAGAAAAATATATTTCGTCTTTTAAAGGGTCTGGGGAAATATGGAGTGTTATTTTACAATGCGAGTATCATTGTAATACCGACAGTCTTGGCAAGCTTCTACAGTGGAGATCTGCAGCAGGTATGGCCTATTAGTGACGACAGGCACAGGACTGAAAGAGGGGTGAGGATGATGGTTTGTTTTATTTATTTATTTATTTATTTTTACAGGTCTTGACTTTTGAGCATTGGACAACCTTGCCATTTGTATGTTCATTCCTCATGTCCTGTGTAACGGGGTAAGGTCCTGTACGGAAATGACATTTGGCTTCTTATTCTCAGCACTTGTATGCAGTGCAGTGGAGGTGAATTCTCGCCGTTTCACTTTCAGATTTATCCTGATGTACTCCATCGTGCTCTGTAGTCACTACAACTCTGCACTAACCACCACAGTCGTGGGCGCCATTAAGGTATCGCTGTGTTTGAAGGATTTTGTTCTCATTTGCCAGTCAAATTTAATTATAATAATAAAAAAAGATAAATGGTAATTATCCCTTCCCCCTTATTTTTCCTAATTTGTCCCACTCTTAAAACACTAAATTCTATTTTTTTGTTACCTTATGTATGTTGCTGTATTAAGGCTTGCTCTACAGTTAATTTGCTTTACAATTCGGTAATATTTGGTAGCATACCATTACTTTTTGTGGCCAGGAAATTCAGTGGTTGTCTGTTATCTTCCAGAATGTAGCTGTGGCCTACATTGGCATGTTTGTGGGTGGAGATTATATATTTTCTTGGCTAAATTTCATAGGACTAAACATTTGGTAAGTGGATTTTTATTTTCTTGTCCAGAGCACTAGGGTTTGGCATAGTACTGTCCTTGTAGGAATATCCTACCCTGTTTTACAAAAGCAGATTATAATTTTATACACTGAAGATGACAGCGTATGGGTTTCTTCTCCTCAGTGCTTTCTTTTAAAAATCTAATGTCATGTATTACTATGACTTCATGTCTTTATAAGACTTACCTCCACTAAGTACCCTCAGTTATGCTTTATATGTTAAGGGTTGTACATCTTTCAGCTGTCATGCAATGATTTGCTTGAAAAGGCATGTTTGTGGTATGTGGAAAAAGGCACTCTCTCCTCTGTTTGGTTCTCCCAGCATGTCAGGGGGGCTCGTGTACTCCTATGTGATGTTTGGGAGCAGCTTAAAGCCAGAGACGCACGAGGAAAGCAGGCCTGATGTCCCCAAGGGACCCAGCAGTGAAGGCAAACAAACGTCATGATGCCCCCCCGCAATTCAGACTTAAGCCAAGTTGGTTTTCTCGATGTTGATAGTTTTTAAAATCATACATGCAATAATGTTTATATAGCGTGAGGCATGTGCAGTATGTTATGTTGGTGACTGTAAACCACAGCGGCAGGTCGCACGCCGAGCCGTTTTGGTGCGGCTGCTAAGAGAATCAGCAGCTTGACTCAGGTAAATGGTGGTCCTTTCTTGGGGGCTGGCTTTAAATTCAGATGACTCAAGTGTCACTAAAAACCCTGTTCGTTAAGGACTGTCACTCCATAATAACAGGTCTACAAAAAAAAAAGGTTTTTTAAATGGATTTAGGGTATTTTGAGGGTGCTGAATTAAAAAAATCCCATTACTTTTGCTGAATTGGCTCTAGATTTTGAGTTAATGGACATCCATGAAAATGTGTGTGATAAATGCAATAGCTTTGGTCTGTCTTTTGATTCAACAGCGTCTTAGGTAATGAAATATCAACAAGCCACTGGTGGACAAGAACAAAATCATTCTCCCACCACTTCATATTAAGCTGGGATTGATGAAGCAATTTGTTAGGGCTTTGGACAAAACGGGTAATTCAAGGTTTTTGCAACAACCCATTGAAAAGCAGAGCTAAGGAAGACCCTAAAAAGGTAAAAGGAAACCTTACTAAGAATGTTGGCTCTATGTTTAGCAAGTTTAAGCTGGAGATTATATACATGTGACTGGAATTTAATGGCACATGCAAGGTGATGCCTCAGCTGCAAGGGCATCGAGGCATGAGCGGCCAAAGCAGTGAAGGCAGCAACTGCACCAACCCAGACCTCTGCACGGGTCAAAAAGACAAGACCCAGATAGGACCAGTTAGTTTCTTCCCATCAGAAATAAAACAGCAGTCGAAAGGACACATGACTTACACATGATAATTAATGTTGTTTATTGGATAATACAGACCAATAAGTACCAGCACTATGGACTGCCCGTGAGAACACCCTGCTCAAAACATGCATTTCTAAAGCAAGCGAGAACATGTTCTAGCAAGGGCAAGAGAGACAACCAGATTATGTTTCAGATAAAAGCTATTTTATTAGCAGTTGACAGCTAATAAAACAGTAAAAGGGTATTTCTCATGTGGTTTAAATAGACTGACATATATAAGTTTTCCAATAGTTTGAAAATAATTAAAATTAACTTCAGTTAACATCTGAAGTTGTTCAGCTTTTTCTTTTTTTTTTAAAAAAAACTTTTCCAGTTCAGTCTCATGATAAAATATTACCAATGACATGGATTTTTAAAATGCTTTGGGTAAGGCAGAGGGGAAACAAATGTCAGACCGATTATTATTTTAAACTAGTACAGGAGTAAGATAACGTCTGACAAAGGCTCTGTGTGCTGCTATGAGGAGCAGCAGTGTCACTAAATAGAACAGCAGCCTAAGGTTAGAAGCTTAAAGAAAATCTGGAACATTTAGTGTTGCAAACTGAAAGACTCTTCAATCAGCATCCTCAGAACTGAACTTAATCACTGAAACTATACCCTTTTCTATCAAGTGCATAAACATTTCTCCCCCTACTCTGGACAGGGCTTATGTAATTTGACAACTCTGTCGCCCCCCTCCCCTCATCAAGCCTGACACAGGAACGACAGGAGGGAAGACAAGTCTAGTGCCACAATGTTGAGATCCAAACACTTTGAGATGATAATAGAGAAGTCCCAAACACACTGAACGCATTCCAACTCAAGTAAATGCTAAATTGTGGGGAAGTATATAAAGGGCAGGCAAAAAAACACTGTACAATTCAACTTTGGGGTCAAACTTTCTCCAAACAGTCTCCAATGTCAGGGCATGAAAAATATCCCATAGATGTAAATGTCAGATTTATAAGCAGTTTGACAAACATGATTAAGGTGCTTGTAGAAAGTAGCCTGACCTCATAACTTTGTATTTTCCACATATATTCCTATTTAAAACTAAATCTATTTTATTATAATTTAGAAATAAAAAAATCTAAGACATGGTCTTTGAGTCATAAATTAACAAACATCATAGCAATTTACAGACAGGTGACGCACACATGACTGCCTGTCAATAGAAGTATGCCTGAAAATGCAGATATTCCCAGAGATTGCATGGTAAATGCCAAGTACTTTAGTTGGGATCACAGATTTTGAACTATACATGGCCAAAGGTATGTGGACGTCGAATCAACTCATTCTGAGTCCAGAGGAATTTATTTGGAGTTGGCCCCTCTTTGCTACTCGAACGGCCTGCACTCTCGCATAGGTTTCGCACAGGATTCTATGGAATCTCGAAATATGGATGCAAGAATCTGCTACCATTCAGCCAAGATACTGAGGTCACACACCGATGCTGAATAATCAGGCCTTGCCTGCAGTGGTTGTTTAGATTCATCCCAAAGATGTCTGATGGGGCTGAGGTCAAGGCTCAGCAGGCCAGTAAATTTCTTCCACATCAAAACTAATAGGCCTAACTCAAACTGCAAAAAACTGGTTAATGATTCAACTGTTCTGGCAAAACTTTTGGAGTTTGTACTATACATCAAGGCAGGTAGCATTCACCAAACCCTGACCTGCCCATAAGACTGCCAAAAAGCAATACAGGACTGATCACTCCAAAGAACACATCTCCGCTACTCCAGAGTCCAGGAGTAGCATTCTTTACATTACTTCAGATCCTTGGCACTATGCAGTTTGACGAACAGTTCTTGAGCGGACCTTGCTTCTAGAGGCAGTTTGGAAGTCATTAAACGAGAGATTTTTTTACACATCACAGGTTTCAGCATCCGACGGCCCTGTTCAATGACCTTGTGCGGCATACTGCTTTGCGGAATCGTCATTTCTAAACATTTCCATTCCGCAAGAACAGCACTTACATCTGACTTGGCTACCTCGAGCAGGACAGAAAATTAACTTATTGGAAAGTAGGCATCCTATGATACTGTCGTGCTATAAGTCAGTGAGCTCTCCAGTTTGACTGAAGGTAGTGCATGGCTATATGCTCGATTTCATCTACATGATTGCAATTGGTGGGGCTCAGTCAGCTGAACCCACTAACTAGAAGGGGCGTCCACATACATTTGGTCATGTAACGGATGATTACTTAACTTCATGGATACAAGTAGGGATTTTGACATTTAAAGTAAAAAAGGATGACACCGCATTAATGAATTCTCCCTCTGGAATCTGTAATCCAAACATCTAGCTGGGTGATGTCTTAAATTCTTGTTTATATAGAATCAAAACTTCAATACTTTGAGCTGACTAAATTCAGGCCTGCAGAAGCCAGTGTCGTTAACCTTCCATCGTCGTCTGTATGCACCCTCAGTTCAGCAGAGCTAAACCCTCAAAATATACACACACAAAACACACTCAATACTTAAAAACTCGTTATCAAAAAAAGTGCAAAGAACTAAGGAAAAAGGAAAAACCTTAAAACAACTTTCTTCTTAAAGTCAGAAAATAACATTCTTCATGTAATGAAATCTACAATTATAGCAGCCTACAAAAGCGTGATAAGGTGCTTTTTAGCTTGTACCCAACTGGCTGTCGGCCGGCATTTGAAGACACCATGGGCAGAGCTAGGAGGACAGGTTGTTGGCCAGCTGGATGAGAGCCAGCGCGCCGTGAAGACGCTCTCGCTGCTCCTGCAGCCGCTGCCGCGCCGCCCCACTGCTGTTCTTCTCATCCTCTGCGTCTTCCTCATCCGAAGGCATAAACTCCAGAGGGTCTCGCTGCTCCTGGTCCTCCGCCCCAGCCTTCACCAAGCCCGTCCCCTTGGGAGGGGGGACTCGTTGCTCTCGGGTCTGCCAGTATCTGATGTGGGGGAGGAGACAGTTGCACCGATTCGGGACTTATTATAGATTATATTTCCCTGTCCATTGAGTCCCATCCAATTCAATGAGTTGTGGATCCATTTGAACAGTTCCATGAATTGCTTCCCAGACATATCACTCACCTGGCCAACCAATCAGCTACGGCCTTGTTATCCACAGCTTGGGATTTTCCAGGGTCGCTTATAGGCTCTTCCCTCTTTAGGCGGGCATATGGGTGCTTGGAGCAGTGTCGGTTGGCATGAGTAAACCGACTACCACAACCTGAGAAGACAACCATACTGATATCAGCCTGTAGTAAAGGTGCAATTCTCCAGAAAGGACTATCGTTCAAAGCAGCATAGACCTTAAACCACTCTCAAGCACCCCTCCTCACCCTTTTCAGAACACACAAAGGGCTTTTCCCCTGTGTGCAGCCGCTGGTGGGTCTTCAGCTGCCCGCTCTGTACGAAAGCTTTTCCACAGTCAGGGTAATCACAATGATAAGGCCTCTCCCCTGAAAGCAACAAAGGAGTTTAACACCACGAGCCAGACCACCAGCTCCACTCACAACACTCCTTTGTGTGCACTTCATTACCTGTGTGGGTCCTTTTGTGAGCCTGAAGGGATTTCTCCCGTGGGAAAACTCGGTGGCAGATGTTACACCGGATCCGGCTAGATGAGTGCTCGCCTTCGTTGATCAACTCACGGACAGTTTCGGCTCGGGGGCGACCCCGACGAGTCCCATCCTGATACCGGGAACACCCCAAAGAGCGATAAGCTTGGACAGGATAAATTGCTTAATATTACAACATTACTGCAAAATAAAAAATTCTGATACCTCATTTCTCATTAAAACTCATAAATATAGTTTTTACAAATGAGACAAAGGCAGATCAACCTAGAGTAAGTATTCCTAGCAGATATATTTTTAATAGCGTCATTGCTTGTCAGTCAAGTTTCGGAACAAGGTCCAACAATAAATAATGGAAAAAAACTTGCAACCTATTATTTTACGGATACTTAAAATTACTGCACGGCATTTTCCTGAAAGGTTAATTCCCTTTTTGCACGGAGCAATCTAGAAGCGCGTTTTAAAATATGCATCACACACACCCCTGACTGCAACCAAATGGTGACGTATAAGTAGAAAGCAGTCTCCCTGTCTCACATGGAAGCCACACACACGCACCCCCCCGCACCCCACCACACACACACGGCTGACTTTTGGCGCGCGCCGCTGACGTCATATCTGGCCAGCAGCTGCTACAGTAGGAAGTGGAGTTTAAAATCCATCATGTCATACACAGAGCGCGGGCATTTTTTTTTTTAACTAGTTACCTCTGCTCAAACAAAAGAAATCTTAACCTCATTAATAAAAACCTTTCAACCGCAATTTCATAAACGTCACAGTTTAATTCAGCATACATCTGGATCACATGAGGAAACGATCATTTTGATCGGTGAGCCGGCAAAGTAAAAAGGTAAATTTTTCTCCAAGAAAGTCAAGTAGCTAATCAATTTAGATATATTATCATACTATATTTATATTAACCACTTAATTTTTTAGGCATAATTTCCAGCTTCCTACTTAGACAAATTACATCTATCATTTAAATGACAGCACCAAGCCCTTTAACTGTGAACACATACCCATCCATGTCACACAAAAATTCTCAATACAGCTAATACAACGAACACACCGAACGTAACTATTGCTGTAAATATATACATTAGTAGTGTTCTGAGCACTATACCTTCATGTGATCAGGACATGCCGACGCGTCTCCATCCACTCCCGTGTTACTCCCTGTGGGGGAAGCGGCTCCGTTCACCGGTCCGGGACTGAGAGAGACATTGTGGGCGTTCTCCCCCCACTTCCAAGGGTACACCATAAAGTCGCTAAATCCCGGACTGGTCGGTACCAAATGCTCCATGTTCTTCGGTTTTATCGGCGTGGTCTTAATAACCGACACCAACACTCGTTTTGGAGAATCGTCACAAAAAATGACTTGAGACGGTTTGCTTTCAGCCATAGCTACACAATACAATAAAACCACCAAAGTCTGAATCCCTACGTATGACACAATACGTACCGAATTGTCAGACAATTAGCTAAACGGCGAAGGAGCCACTAGTTACTGCCCCTCCGCAACTTCCTTTCATATAAAAAAAATTATGGAAGCCCTAACAGATACTCCAAGGAACTTGATTTGATAAGACGCTACAAAATAAGGCACTTTGAACGCAACCACCTACCTATATAAGCGCTATATAATAACCAAACAGCACATAACAACTTACAAGTCCTTTCCGTTTCGGAGTGCAAACACTAACTACGGACTGCACCCTCCCAGAACTTTTCCCGCGTTACAATTCGCGCCCGGGTACCTCTCTGACAAATCGACGGCTAGAATACTGAACCACGTTACTACGCGAAGGGAAACTAACCTATTGCACGAACAAAACCTCGAAGGGAGCCTACCCAATGGCAGACAACCACCAATGAACGCAGACGTTCATTTCACGATGATTGGTCGGGATTTTCCCCAACCAATGAAATTTAAAAACTTTCAGCGCGGGTCTACTGATAGACGGCGGTATGGACCAATGGCTGTGGAGCAGACGAGAAAAAGGTTTGCCAAAGACTAATTCAGCCAATGGGCAAATACGTGTTTCTATGGCCAAAGCTGGTCGTTCGCCGATGAGGGCCTCTCCCGCGCACACTTTTAACGAATTGAACACATGATTTTGGCCGATTTAAAGGGAACTAGGAATCTGGGAGGGGGGGCATTACGTAATTAAACCGCCAACCCAGTAATGAATCAAAGAGGGCATTCATAGAAACAAGAACGTTAGCTCTACATTATTATTTACGGACCCTTTGAAATAAATGTAGCGCGACATCTCGGTCTAAATATTATTAACGCCTATATCTAATAGTCTAGTAAAAGTAAAAGTCTAACAGATAAACTAAAGGGAATTCCAATCAGATACATTTAACTTTAAATAACCCGATATAAATATATATGTAGGGTATTGCTACGATGTTTCAGTTTTATTGTCGCGTGTATTTGGAAAACAGTGAAATACTTGTGCCAGTTTCAAGGGATCGGGTGCATGCCGGGAAACAATGAACAGTAGTGCGATACATGACAAATAGTGCAATATAAGAATAAAAAGATATGGTAATGAATAAATAATTAGTGTTACGTAGGAATGAGGTAGCTATGTGTGATATCTAAACAATAATAAAGTGCAAAGTGTTGAAAAAAGTGCAAGAAATGCATAACTTAGTCAGACTTAAGTAACACATCACCAACCAGGACGAATTGTGTTTAATCGTGAAGATCACATTTAATTTGTCATCAGCTGAAAGTTTGCCCGCTTCACACATACCTGCTGCCCCTTTTCGGGCCCCCGGAATAATTAGGGCGTGGTGTCGGGGTGCGCGTCGCTGTAATAAGGTGACGGGCGCGCGGATGTGACCCTCTCCAGCATCAGGACCTGCACGCGCAGCCGGAGCACGCAGACTGGACGATGCTTATAACTGAAGCGGTGCTGCTGGGCTCGTAAAGAGCAACAGATCTCACTATCCGGCGAATTAAAAAGGGAAATTAAAGGCGTTGCTCTCCTATACCGTGGTGGCCATGAACGGGGTGAAAAGCGGTTCCGTCATGGAGCAGGACGCGTTCGGCTGTACCGTGATGAACCGCTTCGACCATCTCCTCGACGACGATGCCGACCCGTTTGACATACTCCGGGAGGCACAACAGGAGAAGGAGAAGAAGAAAGAGGAGTTAAAACGGGGGAGCGAGGGGAAACCTGGAAAGAAGGGATCCCAGAAAGATAGGAAGACCCCGTCGTTTTGGAAAGGAAACGCTGCTCCAGTGACTGATGCCACGGGTAAATGGTTTCGTTGGCCAATTTATTTTATATAAATAGCGATAACTAGTTAAACTCTGTAACTTTGACAAATGGTTAATTTGGGGCAGCTGCGCCGTTTAGTTTTGCTGGCTAGACAGCAAACTGATTATATGGTGCCTTCGTTACTGCACAGTGGTTATAAAGCCCAGCTGCGTCCTGCTTAAACTTGGTACTACAAGATTGTAAGTAATGCACACGTTTAAAAGTGTGTAGCAGCAGTGCTGGCCGCGCAGGTAACGCGGAGCCGGGCTGTTTTTGTTTCACTGCGTGTGTGTGCGTTTTCCCCCGTGCTTTCGTATGTCTGCTGCTTTTCTCCGGCCGCTTTCGCCCAGTCATGCCGGCGCAGCTGCTGACTCATGCGGCGAAACGCTGGCTGCGTCTCCCCGCCAGGCGGCGCTCTTCACGCTGCTGCGGATGCCGGCGGCCAATGCTTCCCTGTTTTCTAGTAAAATGCCGATTTAAATGAACATCTCAGTAACCAAAGCGAATGCTTTGGGTTGCCGGTGTGAGTTCGTGCAGTCAGTCTCCATGCTTCTGAATGTGGGGTACGTTGTGTGTGTGTGTGTGTGTGTGTGTGTGTGTGTGATGCTGACTGTCGGTTCTCAGTACTGAGTGGTGTCGTGGATCTGATTTATAAAAATCAGGACTGGGGGGTTTGGCTTTTTTAGATATTCAAAATACATTTTTTTTAATTTTATTTCTGCTTACTTGGATTAAAAATGTAATTTTGAATATCTGAAAAAGTAGGCTTGCGTTGTTAGAGGACCATGAAATGAGAACATTTTGGAAAACAAATATAAAATGTTGGCTGGTATCTACTTGTCCCTTTTTGTTTAGGTAACAGGTTTTCCTACGGCAGACAGATCCAGAATGAAAACAGGGGTGTAGTGGAAGTGGAGAGGGGTGAACGACGCCCCGTCTTTAGGGAGCAGCGATTCAACGTAATGGAGCCTCTGCAGGAACGTGTCTTTGACAAGTATGTGTCTCATGTTCAGCTCAGGAAGTCTTGCTATGTTCCTTATGGGGTCTGAAGTTTTTGTTGTCTTCAGGTTTTGAAAGGACCACTTTAATTAAATCAGGTACTTCATACGATGGTTACACTGGGTGATGATTATCGATCCATCAGTCTTCCACTTATCCTGAGCAGAGTTTTGGTGTCGGAGCATCTCAGGTAGCCTGATTACTAAGATGGAGTAGACACCTGATAGGATGGCATTTCACCCTGTGGTCAGTTTAAAGATGTCAGGTCACCATGGCACATGCCTTTGTACTGTGAGGAAACTCAAACCATGCAAACTGCACACCGTGCAGGGGATGGACTCAAACCCCCAGCACTTGAGGTTTGAGACCTCAGTGCTTCCCATGAACTACTAGTTGCTTAGCTCAGTGTTTCCCACTCCGATCCTAGGGGATTCACAGACCATCCATGTTTGTAGACTGTATGGCAGGGAGCAAAAACATAGACTGACTGTGGGTCCCTGAGGACCGGATCGGGAGACAACAGCTTAGTTCAGGGGTGGCCAGTCTTATCCGCAAAGGGCCGGTGTGTATGCAGGTTTTTGGAATAACCTGTAGGTCAGCTGTTCAAACCCAGGTGTGAGGACTCTTCAGCCAATCAGTCCTCTAATTAGTAATCTAATTAGGGAGTTGCAGCGAAAACCCGCATACACACCGGCCCTTTGCGGATAAGATTGGCCACCCCTGGCTTAGCTAATTCCTATCCAAACTGAGTCTGATGTCTGAGCTGCATGTATAAGCAAGGCTGCTTGAGAGAAGAATCCGTCAAGTTCATTTAACAGCTACAAATGGAAATTCCAGTTTTTAAATGTCACTTCATAATCACAATCACCAGTTAACATACACACAAGAAAGGGGGTTAAGTTTAATTTATGAGACTCTGACCTGTGTGGGTGGATGTGGGCAGCGTGTGCACAGTTTTTCTGACCCCCCCCCTCCCTCCTTCTGCCTGCTTCCTGTCTCACAGACCAGTTGATGATAAGTTCGAGAGGGGTAACTGGGACCGTGCCAGGGCCCAAATGGCATATCCCAGATACACTGATGGCTTCGACCAGAGAGGCAAGAGACAATTTGAGCGCCAGAGTGGCAGCATGCAATCGTAAGGTTTTATAGTCTCTTCTGTGGACTTTTCTGTCTGTGTGAAATAAGCAGAGAAAAATTGTGCTGAGGTCCTGTTGTTCCTTGGAAATGGGTAAAACCCCTGATATCCTTGAAGTCGTGATCTGGCATTCGTCTTGGACATTTGTTAATATAAAGTTCTTAACAAGCCTAAGCTAATAGAAATTTTCACACCCCTGTTTATCTCCATCGGGTTTTATTAGAATGTAGCATTTACCTGTAATGATCCATTCCTAAATGTGTGATGGTCTGACAAATTAACTTGCTGACAAGCTTGTTCCTTGAACATCTTTGCATCCTCAGAATATACATTCAGTCTGTTAAATTAACATCAGTACAAATGGGGGGAAAAGTCCAAACCTTAGACATGAGTGCTGTTTTGTTCCTGCGCTTCAGTGGCGTTCGACCTGATGAGAAGCGTGAAGGAGGTGGACCACGAAACTGGGGTTCCATGAAGGATCCAGTGAGAGGGTAATGACAGCGAATGGGCAAAGTATGATCCAAACGCCCATCTGCCCCAGGGCATTTTTGGGGAAGATGGTGGCGCAGGAGGTAGTGCTATCCTTCGCGAGGGTTGCAGGTTCGAGCCCTGGTTCCTCCTGACCCCATCAAAGTGTCCTTGAGCAAGACACTGAACCCCAAATTGCTCCCGGTGTGCAGGTTAGCGCCTTGCATGGCAGCTTATGCCACTGGTGTATGAATGTGTGTATGGATGGTGAATGTGAGGCATGAGTTGTAAAGCGCTTTGAGTACTCATAGGAGTAGAAAAGCGCTATATAAATGCAGTCCATTTACCATTAACAACACTAATTTAAATGCTTATAGAAGGTATAGGAATCGGTGGTTAGTTATCTAGTATTATGGAGAACAGCCATGAAAGTTATGCTCGGTATGTTTGAGTCTTGTTGGAAAGCCTTTTGGGTATCGTTTAGTAAAAATGAATTGTAAATCTGCTGAAACACTTAACTGGCTAGTTTGAGAGAATGACTGTCTTCTGTCCTGCAGGTTTGGGGTGGAATTGACTCCCCCAGAGGAAGCTGGAGATGTTGATGAGTCCCCAGGAGCTGCAGAAATGTCTGCGGAGAGCCAGTGAGTGCACTGCCTGTCTGTACACCCCCAGCAGAAAAACGCAATAACTCCCCACTGATAGCACCGTGTGGCCTTTCAGCAGCGAGAACCCGAAACTCACTCTGCCTGCTGAACCATAAAATGACAATAGGAACTCATGCTGTGGATGAAATGGAACTATTTAGGGGAGGCAAAGTGATTCACGGTCTACTACAGAATACATTATGGCAATAACAAACAGACTGATGAGTACAAAGTGAACCGTGATTGTGCCTGAGACTAGCTGTTGCCCAGAGATTTCAGATGTAGCATAGCATCTACATGTCTCTTGTCAGGGATGGTTTTCTTTCATTTTGACTGTCTTTCTGCTATGCCAGGGAAGTGGGATGTGACAATGTAACCAGTGTATACAGTGTAGGTACTGTTTTAGTTTAAATTTATGGCAAATTACCTTTTGGTTGTGTGACTGACTGCATATGGTTCAGTGTCCTGCCCAAGCAGGCTGTACCTTGCCTATATCTCAGGCTAGATGCTGTGTCCCCATGACTAAAACTGTGATTTGATTATTATGGATGTTGCTGTAGGTAGCTGCTTAGGCACAAAGACACTAATGTGATGCCGCAGAGATGAAGGTTTTAGTGCAGCTGGAGAAGCTGTGTCTTTGGTCAGGATGGATGGATGTCTCTCTGCTGGCATAAGTCATGAAGGTTTTTGTAACCATATAAATACACTGAATCTGAGCTTCATGTGATTTGAAATGAATTCAAAAAAGGAGAAATAGATATTGAATAAATATTTTAGGTATAAAAGTTACTTATTAGTTTGTACATGTATTAAATTTACAAATTATAATTTAAGAGTGAGTCTGCTTAGAACAGCACTTTGAATTGTAGTAATTTTATACTATAATGGATCAGTTGAGAAAATTGGCTACTTTGTTTATAGCTTATTGGCAGAAGATTTTTCATACTTTCAGCCGTGGCTCTTGTATTGTTTACCAGGGTACCCTGCAGTAGCTGGCTGTATTATAGCTGATGCTGTTTTAAACATTTTTCATGAAATTGGAGCTGAAGATCTAAGCAACTCAGTAGGTTGGAAATCATTAACGAGCCCATTTGGAGCTTGAGGTTTTTCACCATGAAGTTGCATTTCTGTGGCAGTCATAGTATTTCATTGTTTGGTTGTCTGTGGGGGGTGCTGGTTGTTGTCTTTTTGACTAGATGCATTGTTCTACATGATTTGCATGTTAAAAATATTCAGTTTCACAAAACGTTGCAGTTCCTGCTGGATTTTGCCAAAGGGATGCCCAAAGTGGACAATTAAAATTGCACCACTCCCCTAAGTGTACAGTTCCAGGCTCAAGTGTACTTAAAAATTTCTTTCAATACCAACATGTGGAAAAACAGCTGATTGGACCGTAGTTCTCCTGCTGATGAAAATGCATGATTCAAGTCTTACAGATCTGGTTAATCATTGGAACTGTGGAACTATAAAGTTGAGGGTTGTTCAACAAGATCGTTAACCATCTTCCCAGTTGTCCATAGCCTCTGCTTAAATGTGGCAGGGCAGCAGAAGAGGGAGAATGTATCCCGGACGTTGTCATGGAGATGTCCCTGGATGAGTGGAAGGCCCTGCAGGAGCAGTATAGACCAAAGGTGGAGCTGAACCTCCGCAAACCTGAAAGCAAGGTGCCCAAAAAGGCGGTGGTCATTCATAAATCCAAATACTACCAGGTGAGAATGTCTTGGTGTCCTTGCACTCATTGTGGGTCAAACGGTCCTGTTTCATTCTTAGACCATTTTTGGCTGTGTGTGCGAGGCTTTGCTGATAATGAGAATTTTGTTTGAAAAGACGCAATGCAGCAGTGGTACTGTCTGTACTTCGGCGGATTCGGGGGAACGTTGTGCATCTCTTGCAAAGTTTAACTATTAGTGTTGTAATTTTTTCTTGCAGAAAGCTCTTGTATTGGAAATGTTGTAAGTAGATCGTAATTGTTACACATCCCCTACCACCAAAAATGGTAAAATGAAGCATTTACCACTTTAAATGTCAAGTTACTCAGGATATGTGAACTGAAGCAATTTTGATAACCTTTAAAAATAATAGCAACTGAAATGGAAACTTTCACTAACAATTTTTAAACTTTCACATAGGAGCCATTAACTGTAATTGGTGTGTCCCCTTCCAATCTTTCTTCAGGGTAAAGAGCCACTGCTTGAGGCGGATGAAGACCTGTACTCTCTCAGACGGCCTGCCAATGATATCACATCCACGCTGGACATTAACTTTGGCAGCCTGACGCGTCCCAGCAGGGGTGGTCGAGGTGGTCGTGGGGGCAGAGGCCGTGGAAATTCTGCAGTCCCACCAGAGACTCTGCAATATGATGTATGTAAAATCTTGAATTCTCTATTCACGGCTATCCCTTACATTGGGGCTTTTCAGTTTCGCTCTTCGAGTGCTTGGTTCAGGTGGCTTTCATGTTTTCCAAGAGCCTCTACGAAGCCAGTTGAAAGGCTTCAGTTAAACTCCTCTGAAATGTGAAAGAGTAGTGGATAGAACTCTGCCTGTGTTCGGAAGATGTGGGCTGACTTTAGAATCCTCGTTCAGACCTTTCATGTAGGGAGGGGCAGAGCTTCTAGGGGAAGCCCCTCATTTGTGTGTACTATTGTCTCCAGGCTCGAGTTCTTGCACCAAACCCGGATGACATGGAGGATTTCCCTGCTCTGGCCTGAGGGAACCACTGACACACATGGGGGGGGGGGAAGCTGTGCTCCCAGGATCTAAAGGAGTTCTGGCTGCTATTTGTCTGTGCCTCTTGAATCCATTGCACTTCTAATTTTGAACATTTTCTTGTTCATTCCAAATAACTGTATTTTTCCAGATGGGAGACTGCTACTTTTCCTTTAGTCAGAATGAAAGCTTTCCTCAAAATGGTTGTCTTTGTGTATATGACTGCTTGAGGTGTAGAAAAGGGATTAAAATTCACTGTTCACAATGCAATGTCATTTCCTTGTTTTTTACCAAGCACTACAGAAATCTACTACTGAATGATGTAGATTTTGAATCCCCTTTATATGTAACACACACACAATTGTTCCTTGTCATATTTTACAAGGGAATTATTTTCAATTTTCTATTCTTGAGCTACTAGAATACAAACTCATTCTGGTGCTTATAGACCAGTGACTACTGGGTAATGGAACGATTCTTTGCCGATGTAGACTAAAGCTGAAACAAAATGCATTTTGCCTGATTGCTCAGTTTGCAATTGTCATCCAGTGAGCATGTCCTTTATGTGAATTAACATCCAAATTCAAAGACCATATTTAAACAAAATGCATGTATTTACATACACTATATTGTCAAAAGTATTGGGACACCTGCCTTTACACACACACATGAACTTTAATGACATCACATTCTTGATGCATAGGCTTTAATATGCAGTTGGCCCATCCTTTGCGGCTATAGCAGCTTGAACTCTTCTAGGAAGGCTGTCCACAAGGTTTAGGAGTGTGTTTATGGGAATTTTTGACCATTCTTCCGGGAGAGCATCTGTGAGGTCAGGCGCTGATGTTGGACCTGAAGCCTGGCTCACAATCTAAATTCTAGTTCATCCCAATGTTTGATAGGGTTGAGGTCAGGTCTCTGTGTGGGCCAGTCAAGTTGTTCTACAGCAAACTCACCCACCCGTGTCTTAATGGACCATGGTTTGTGCACTGGGGCACAGTCATGCTAGAACAGGAAAGGGCCTTCCCAAAACCGTTCCCACAAAGTTGGAAGCGCAGGATTGTCCAAAATGTCTGCATGCAGTTCCTTTCACTGGAACTAAGGGGCCTAGTCCAACCCCTGAAAAACAGCCCCAAACCATTCTCTCTCCTCCACCAAACTTTACAGCTGGTACAATGCAGACAGGCAGGTAATGTTCTCCTGCTGTCCACCAAACCCAGGCTCATCCATCAGACTGACAGAGAAGTGTCACTCATCAGTCTACAGAACATGTTTCCACTGCTCTAGAGTTCACTGGTGCAGTGCTTTACACCACCCCAGCTTACGCTTGGTGGTGTGAGGCTTGCATGCAGCTGCTCGACCATGGAAGCCCATTCCATGAAGCTCCAGACGCACAGTTTTTGTGCTGGAGTTAATGCCAGGGGACGTTCGGAACACTGCAGTTACTGAGTCGTCAAAGCACTGGCGACATTTATACACTGTGTACCCCAGCACTCGGTGACCCTGCTCTGTTACTATATCTGGTCTGCCATTTTGTGGCTATTTCTCTGGTATTTCTAAATGCCTCCATTTTGCAATAATTCCACTTGCAGCTGACTGTGGAATATCTGGCAGGGAATTAATTTATTGCAAAGGTGGCATCCTATGATGGTACCATGTTTGAATTCACTGAGCTTTTCACGATGATTGTAAACCTGATGGCATGGCTAGGTGCTTGATTTTATAAACCTGTGGTAATGGGTCTGAATGAAACATCTGAATTTAATGATTAAGCGGGACACGTCCCAAAACTTTTACCTATATGGTGTATCTTTAATATGGAGCAGTGACATTGTGGAATTGACTTACAAACTGTAACATTGTGGGTGCAGCCTTCAGTCAGCCACTCATCACAGGCCGCCGTGGAGATCTGACTCATTGATGGACTTCAGCTTTGCCCTTGTCCACGGTTTAGACCTTGCTTTTAGCAAGCTGGCCCATTCTCTCTCATCCTATAACGTTATCATGCCCGAGGGGGTCAGGCAGCCAGCATACCTTGGACTAAGAGGTTTTAATTCCTACTTGGGAGTTTTTGGTTCCTCTCCTACATTATCATCTGGCTTTCTTACTCGTGAAATGATTTGGGGCGATTCATTTGTGAAAGGCGCTATATAAAAATGAATTTAATTAAATAAATAGAGTGTCGCTTATCCGACAAACGGGCTGGCAGAATGTCGGATAATGGGAGGTGTTAAACGTCAAACTATAACTTTATACATTACGAACCTAATAATGTTTTACAAAACAGAAAAATTTACTGAAAAAAATTAACTTAGTTACAGAATTGTCTGAAAAATAGTATGTACTGTACAGTCGGGGTAACTAGCTGTGGTAGAGTCGGGAGCAACAAAAATAGAGTACGCCCTCAACTTGCCGTTCTGGTTGCAGATTGATGTGTTTTTTTTTGTTTTTGTGGTGGGACGTCGGATAATATGGAATGTCAGATAAGGGAAGGTCGAATAATCGAGACTACTGTATTAATGAACACGAAACAATCGTAATGTTAATGTATATTATAGGATGCATATTATACTTACATGCTGCTGAATGCATTAGGAGGATGGAGTCCAGTTACTGTGACTCGTACTTGCTGAGTCACTCATATGTTGAAATATAAAACACTTAATTTGCAACTTATGGTAGTGTAAATACCACTTATGCGAGTCCAACACCAATGGTAGATAAAGATTTGAAGGCCTTTACTGGAAAAGTAAGTTTTTCCCCCCATGTACAAGTCAATTTTCTAATACATAAATGATGGACTGACAGCATTTGTGAACATGATTCAGACATGAACAATGCATGTACCAAATAATTATATACATGTATGAAAGTACGAAAGACCTGTTAAAGTATATTAAATGTTCACCTATTTACAGTATAAAGTACAGAAGCTTCAAACGAAGTCTGCATGAATAGAAGATGGTCACTAGTAAGGTACAGCTTCGGGGGAGGGGGGGGCACTGTTAAACCATTCAGGGGATATGTAAACAAACATCCTGGTACAGTCTAGGAACTTCGCAACATGATACAATCAGATCAAAAGAAAAGTTGATACTATTGGCATCCAAATTTCCCAGGGAACTGCCTAGATGCCCACATCTAATCACCTGGGTTTACACTTTGACATCCATCTGACAAGCATGTCTGCCTCATACAGATACGGAGGCCCGCTGGCATTCATGTCTTTTAAAAAAATCAGCAGATAAAACCCTGCAAATAAAGCAGCGTTTCCCAATCTGGTCCTTGGGGACCCAGTCGGGCCACGTTTTATGATCCCTCCGAGCTTGAACGCAGAGCAAAAACGTGGACTGTCTGTGGATCCCCGAGGCCCGGATTGGGAAGCACCGTCTTAAAGCACTGGAGGTCTTGCATGTTGCCAAGTGCAGTACCCACAAGGTGTCCGATTCCACCTCACCGGAGAAGGGGTGCTCTAGCTTTGGGAACGGAGTGGCTGTAAGGAAAATCACACCGTCAGAAGCTTCAAAGAATCATGTGGCCAAACTGCAGCCAATTCTGTGCGGAGAACTTGAAAATGTTTCTCTCTTTTATGGATGCGAATCGTGAGCTTGTTCCATTACAGGAAATGCAATTTAAATTTGCAGCACTCCACCTACAACACAGCTCGAACAAGCACTAAAATGCTGAACTAAAATCTGTACTCCTCTAATCAAAACTTAAAATTAAACACCTTATTCACAAATTATATTGAGGTTTGATGGCATCAAGGTTTGACAGTAGTGTTTAATCAGGAACAATTACACACACACACACAAGAGGAAAAAAAAAAAAAAAAAAAAACTTACCAGAGTCTCATGACACGTATTGACTGCAAAGGGCACCTCCTTTTCCGTCCTTTGGGTACAGCATGTCTGTGTCGGGGGGGGGAGGAAAGCGTTTGTAAAAATTAAGGAATAAAGGGAATTACAAAAAAAAAAAGAAAAAAAAAAAAGTGTCATCCAGCTGAAAAGTAGATGCTCAGGCCAAGATTTGATTTCCACCATAGAAAGCAGTAGATGGCAGGTACAGAGAAATGGCAGTTTCTTAGCTGGCCTGTTTCAGCAATGCATGCAAGGTGCCTGGGGCAGGGGAGCAGCAGCAGCGCAGAGGAAGGAGGCTTTTCAGCGTGGAACTTTCTGAATCTCGGGAAGCAGTGGATACTCGACAGGCGAAGGCAGCTCGAGTCTGTCGCGCACTTACTAAGTGGGACAAGGCCTGGTCGTGCCCGCCTTGGGGGGCAGGGGGGCAGCTCTCTGCGGCTGCCTTCCCAAGGCCGGGCCGCTGCTCGTTTATGCCGTTTAGGCCCTTCATCTGGGAGGCCGTGCCGTTTAAGGCTTTAGAGCCTGCTGCCGGATCTCCGTGCGCACCGTCCCGTCTGCTAGCCATGACGTGCAAGTTGCCTAGGGATTGGGCTAGCTCTGAATTTAACGACTGTCTGTCAGAGGGAAGAAACGGGTTATTCCAAAACCTTCCAGTTAACTAACATTCTGCGTTGGCCACAAGCCCTACACTAAGAAATTAAAAATGCTATATTCCTGGTGGGTAGTGTTTAGTGTCTTTAGAAATAAAAGATAATGCTTCATTCGTTCATGGAGGCTGATGCTGAGGCACTGTGAAATGCGTGTCCTCCCAAACGTCGGGAGTTTGAACGGAGCCTGTAAACACACCTTCCCACAATGCCGTGCCCCAGCGAAGCCCTCGTCTTTCTTTGGGCATCTGCACTGGCGGGCAGACTGGCAGATTTTACAGGCGTACAGCTTTGATCGGTGGACTGCAAAATAATCCTGCCAAAAGAACAGTAACTAGAATTAAACAGGAGACTGACTGAGGTTGAAATCTAAACACATGGATGCAATGTCAACACACTACCGTTAACAGAAAATGGCTAGAACTGCAATTTAAAAATGCTCATCTCTACAGGTCAAAGCATGCAAACCTTAACGGTTACAAATAAGTTGACTTCTGAACAAACTGGACATGGCTAAAAATATTCATATTTTTCCTGGATATTAAGTAAAATATAAAAGAGCAGTAAACTGTGAAGCCTTACTGAAGCGATTGTGATGACGACCGGGTGTGAATTTTATTCTCCTCTAACCTATAACAAAAACAGTTACAAAATATCACATCACCTGGCATGATCAGACCAAGACAACATGTACATCATGGAGAGTGCAGACTTAAAGTTGTCAAGAAGTTATAAGGGAGAAGCATGATTTCTGAACCTAAAA